ACTGGTGGGCTGGTTCAAGGGCTAGAATACGTTCCGGTCTAGTGACAATTACGTGCCGTATTGACAACCCCTGAGAAGCTAGCTATCTACGCTCTGGCTGGTGAGAGTGAAGTGACGACCTTCCCTCAGGCGTTCTTGAATAGATTACTATATGTAGCTGCCATAACGCAACCAGAATGCACACGTCCCATTGGTTGTTAGCCTACGTCCCATGTTATGGTCAACCCATCAGTTGTTTTTTTGGAGGTCATATGGTGATTCAAAAAATGTTATTTAATTTTATACTAATGTCCGTTTTCTTCTTAACAAAAATGATGAGAGGTCTTCTCAAAATATTAGCAATTTCTGGGACAGGATCGAGAAAAGGATACACGAAGACAAGATCGAAAAAGAATGGGTTTGTAGATCGTATTTTGCGGTTGTTTATATACGTAGAGAACTAATTTATTTGTAAAATAGTTAGGATATATTAGCAATGTTATAGATAATTCCATTAAGGATTTAAAAGATGCAAGAACGTTTTTATCCGATAAATTAAAGTTATTTTCAAAGGAAAATGCCAGGAAGGGAAATCATGTAGGTATTAAAATATTAGTTTATTACATTTGTTTTTATGTAGTAAATTTACTTTCTTCTCAACACCCAGGGCCACATAGAGGATTCTCAATGTCATGAAGAATCTTATGGATCAAGTTCTGACTTAGATCCCAACAAGAAGGTCAGGCTAGAATTAATTCTATGCCTCATTGTTCCATACTGATATTATGCCTTTGTGTTTAATATATGACAGGCAAAAACAGATTCTACATTTAATGCCTTATTTGACGACTATACTACTGCGGTAAATGCCATAAAGTCAATTCAAGAAAATAATGAATCAGCCCACTCAAAGTAAGTTATTTATACTATTTTCCTATCAATTCGTTGTGTATTATGCTTACACTTTTTCTTATTGTAGCCCACTTTGTGGGGTGTTCTAGATTTTCGTGAGGAAAATATATCGCCGAATTCAAGCCTTCCCCGTGCTAAGAATTTCCTCTCGGCTAATAAGATCGATCGTTTCATGAGTGTAACAAAAAGTTTATTAAAAAAGAGAATAAAAAATAAGTAAATTAGCCGAGTCATTTTTAGAAACTTTATTATTATCGGAAATTGTTAACATCAAACTTCTTGCAAAAGAATGTGGTGCACGTGGTGTGGCTGAAATATATTAAATTCTTCCGAAAAAATGTAGGTAATAAATTTACGCATCGTTCTGATCTGGCATCAACAAATATAATGAACCAATTTGCAATAGGGTGTTGATAAAAAAAAAAATAATTCAAGATCATCTTACAAACGTGAAT